AGAGAGAGAGAGAGAGAGAGAGAGAGAGAGAGAGCAATTTGGTGGACTGTTTCAGGGCTGGTAGGGCACCTAGAAATCGTGTTTTGGGGTCAAATTATGCAAATTGGGGTTATTACATATTATAATACCTGGACATTTCCTGAACAATATCCAGAAACCTATGTAAGTCTAAAGCTGTGTTGTTGTTTTTTTCCTGGTTTTTCTGCGAAATCACATGTTTTCCAGCTTTCTCTTACCTTTATCGGCTGTTTTCTCACCTATTTTGTCAGACATTATCTCTTTTTTCTGCTCTGTTTCTTGTTCAATGTCATAACTTTCACAGGATACTAACAATATCTAGAAGAAATAAATTTTGGCTTGTTAATTTTTTATTAAAGGAGTGGTTTTTGATTTATGGGCTTAGCATGAATTTTCCTTTTTTTTCACTTTTTTACGACAACCTAATTGTAAATGTCATAAAATAAAAACTAAAGCATCAAATTAAAAAAAAATTTTAAGCCAAATTTAAGAGTTACATATTTTCTGTTGGCATACCAAATTAGAAGTGAATTAGTTAATAAAAAAGGGAATAAAATGGGATTGAAAAAGGTGTATACAAAATCCAATATATTCCGCCGTTCATGGGTGAAAGTGAAAGTGACAAGAGACGGTTTAGCCTGAAAATTCTGTTGTTAGAGAACGATTAGCCTAAAAAGTTCACGGTAAATTCACGAGGCCTGAAGGATGGGGTAGGCTTCATAATTTTCCAGGGGTGCCATCCATTTTCCAGGGGCATGTTACATAACAATGACAGAGCAGGTGCTCCATTTATATATAATACACACAAACACACGCGCAAGTACGTAGCCAACATTATACATGAACATGATTCCTGTGAACAAAATTTCAGTTTGGCACTAGAGTCTAGTGTGACTTACGTATTTCATTCTGTTCTTACTTGTTATATTTCCTTATTCATATTTTCCCCTCATCGTTTTATATATAATATGTAATACATATTATAAAAATGAATCCTGCTTTGAGCCTGTGAAAGGGCCTAGAACCAGAAAATCGACAATGTCAAGAATGAGTCTTGCTGTCATGATTCATATATTATAAACGTGAAAGACAAAAATTATTGCTCAAACTCAAAGTAGAGTAAAAACTTGAATGATTCAAGTAGACCTACTAAGTGCGAGAACTTTAAGACTTCAGAGAGAGGTCAAGATGCAGTGACACTGGAAATCTGCCAATCTTGAACAGAAAAGTAAAATATAGTATAATTTACGATCACCCGACCTATGAAACGCGAACACATAAGTTCAATAACAAGACTTACAAGGTATGACGGATCCCGATTTCACACACGGCCAGCACCAAAGCGCGCTTTGTACTGTAGACAGCTCTAATTTTAAATTTAAAAAAAATAAAATCTGCTTCCAATTTTTTTGTCCTCTGGTGTTGCCTTCCGAACATCCCCACAGTTTAGTATC